TGCCCAAAAATTTTAATGATCGGTTTAATTCTAGCGACTCGAGAGACAAAAATGTTTGCACACTTGACCGTCCCAAAACAACAAATGTTTGATCAAACGTTCGTTTCACAACCACAAAACATTGAGGTTGTTTGGCGCGAAAAATCAAAACAGTTACTGTTTGAAATACCGAGATTTCACATTTCAAAGGTTTTCAAAGATTTATAAAGTACTTTTAAGTACTATTCACTGCTGTTCAAATGTCTTATTGGAGTTTTTAACTACAACATATTTACGTGAGTCAAATTTGAAGCAAACTCACTTGTTTCGAGTATATTTTGGAAAGTTTCGAGCCGTTTGGTTTGCTTTTTGTAAATATGGAGTAAGGAATACAGGGGACAAGAAACCTCAGTGGTATTTTAATACCCATGCATGCATTATTGAAGGAACATTTGATAACTGACTACTCAGTAAACTTGGACCATGCAAATGCTCACAAGCATAAAAATATGGCTATATATCAACTGTTCAAAGATAAAATGGTTACCCAGGTTGTAGACTTGTAGTTAAGGCTATTAATGTTTTGAAAGGCACACAAACATCTTTCCTGTTTAATTAATTAAAAGTGTTGTGCATGCCTCCATGAAAAAGGCACACTATGGAATCTAATGTTCACCTACTTTAGGCCTAAGACACTGGTTAAATATCTTTTGCAAGTTGTACTTGTACAGGTGGTTCCGTTGCTGTAAACATGTAGCTGCCCTGCTATTTCAAATTTTGGACTCAATATCCAACTTCAATTATTAAACTGAAGTCCCACATGATTTAACATGTACACAGTCTGACAGTCACTGAACTTACTAATGAGAAACTTGATACTGCAGTGCTTTTCGACAAAGTAAAAATAAGCAAGGCAACTTTCAAGACAGAAAAAACATTGCACAGCAAACTACAACAACCCAGCACCTGCTTTTGCTAAACATGTAAACATGTAAATGTTGAAGACTTATGAAAACGTTAAGACCGGTTTGACTGTTGGCACTTGTGATTATTTGCAGGGCCTTTTAGTATCCAACAATTGTGAACCTTTCTAATATCAAGAATTTGTTGAGGAATTGCCTTCAAAAAAGGCATTCAATAATGCAAACCTACTGTATTTGCAAATCAAATGTACAATACAAAATTTGAACATCTATACTGGAACAACTTACTGTTCCTAGCAGCAGTGTGCAAACATTTGCCTTTGCAGCAGTGTGCAAACATTTGCATTCTCTGGAGTATATAGACCAGATACTCGAAACACTCTTTTTACACCCAAAGAACAAATGGTTGACATTGAATGCAATACAAGAGGTCAGTCACAGAGCAAACTTTGGTTTCATGAACAACGAGGTCGTCTACTGTAACTACCTCACATTTCAGTACGGCAATGAAACGAAGAGAAAATGTTTTCCTCACATCACTTCTTTGCAAAATCCTTTTGCCAGCAAGCAATGTAAAGCATGTCAAGTGGGGCAACAGTAATGAGCAGATTGCCATTGAAAAACATTTAGAGCAAAATAATTCAGGATGAACTGATAATGACTGCATGTGTAATGACTGGATGTGTTCAGAACACAGAAGCTCCATGGTTTGGTGAAACCAGACTACTTGTTATATAATTATGCAGAGCCAAAAACATTTGGGATAGGTGAGGTGAAGTGCCCATTTTCAAAAATGCAGACTGACTTCTAAATGATGTTGGCATTTCAATTTGTTGTTCAGTCTGTACAATCAATAATTACACAGGTATTTGGGTAGGTTTTTTTGAAAGGCTGTGGCATAGTTTGTTGTATATAATCTTGTGATGCCCAGATGGTAATGATAGAGAAACTCTGACCGGGCTACTTGGTCAACGAGAAACATGCCAATTCAGAGAGCAATATGTCAAGGTTCCCGTATAAGACCACGACGTACAGTAGGCGACATTGATCTTTTTCGCCGCAGCTTTTTTTTTCTGCCAAGTATTCTACATTGTTACTCGAACCAGCATAAGTTAAGAAATTACATGGTGGTTGCAGAAAGTCAAAGAAAATTTAAATGTTGCATAATTTTGAAATCCTGTATAGAATTTAAAATTTGTGTCACTGGCAAATACATGTAACATGTTCTATTCGCAATACACACTGTTCATATTTAGCTAGATGATAACTCATAATATTTTCTTTGTAAAGCTGCATGTTCAGTTTTTAATCTTTCATTGGTTGACTCTTGTGTATCAATGCCAGTCGTTTGTTGTTCAGACTGGGTTGTTCAGTTTCACTACAGTAGCTGTCTATAATAATATATGTTCCCTGCCTTGGCTACTGTTTACAGTTTGTCTACATGATATTTAACGACAGTTGGCAATGCACTAAAAGATTTCTCAGTGTAAGGAACACACTTTGTGGCTTTTTTTATAAAAGGTTCACTTTGTATTCTCAATATAAAATTCAGCCATATTTCTCACAGGAAATTTATGGAAGGATAATTCCGAATTTTTAACGCTGTCGCTTCGACAAAGTGGCACACAACAGGTCGTTCCCCTGTACATTTTACCTTTAGGCACTTTTTTCGTGTCACTTGCCATATTTATCAAAACCAACAGCAAACCAAACGGTTCGAAACTTTCCAAAATATACTCGAAACAAGCGAGTTTGCTTCAAATTTGACTCACGTAAATATGTTGTAGTTAAAAACTCCAATAAGACACTTGAACAGCAGTGAATAGTACTTAAAAGTACTTTATAAATCTTTGAAAACCTTTGAAATGTGAAATCTCGGTATTTCAAACAGTAACTGTTTTGATTTTTCGCGCCAAACAACCTCAATGTTTTGTGGTTGTGAAACGAACGTTTGATCAAACATCTGTTGTTTTGGGACGGTCAAGTGTGCAAACATTTTTGTCTCTCGAGTCGCTAGAATTAAACCGATCATTAAAATTTTTAGGCAAATAATAGTTTACAACGTGTTCGTTCTTTCGAAAATAGTTTAATGCAGTACTCACCTTCATGTTGTGAAATATTCAAAAATTTGTTCCTGACTACTATGAATCGAACTCCTTCCCCGCTTCAGTGACTTTGTACGCCATGTTAAATATTTCAACCACACTCGCTCGTAGAAGTCCAAGACGAAGTAGAAATATGAAACAAGTCGTACAGATTTCGTCAAAACTTTAATCAAAGCGAAAATGATAAAAGTTTTCTTGCAATTCTCATGTGTTTAGCACCTTTCCTCGTTCGAAAAGTGTAAGCGCCATGTTGAAAAATTCTGCTGTGTAACTAAACTACCATGATGCTTAGCAATTCCGCAATTGGCCCATTTCGATGTAAAATTTCGAGTAAAAGTTTATAAAATTCACACCCGAAATGGACCATTTGCATTATAGACTAAATTTTGATCTAAACAAGTCTAGAAAGAAAGAGCATCACAAAATTAGTGATATTCCAAAGTTTCGTTGCGAAATGTTGTAAAATGCGGATAATATAGCCTTGCGAAGTTTGCCGTTTTTCAGTCATTTTGCATTACGCGGGGGAAATTGACAGCCCAATACCCTTTGGGGCGGTCAATTTCCCGTTTGTAATACAAAATGACTGAAAAACGGCAAACTTCGCAAGGCATATATATCGGCATTTTACAACATTTCGCAACGAAACTTTGGAATATTACTAATTTTGTGATGTTCTTTCAAGCTGTGATGAAATTTTTGTCTAGACTTGTTTAGATCAAAATTTAGTCTATAATGCAAATGGTCCATTTCCATCTACAAAACCCATCTACAATCAGTTATATCGAGTGTGGAAGCCCCAAATCCTGATATTAGTAGAGGTAATAGTATGGTTTTGAGTGCAATTTGGAAAAAAACATGTACGAGTGAGTTTTTCAAAGACTACCAAAATTGCACGAGTCCGAAGGACGAGTGCAATTTGATGTCTTGGAAAAACTCACGAGTGTATGTTTTTTCAAATTGCACGAGAAACCATACTATTACTTATTTATAATATACATGAAAAAATTAACGCCAGCCATTTTTTTTACAAAAAAAAAAACGTCAGCCATTTTTGTCACACCTAAAAACTCCTAAATGTTTTTTTTTTATTAATTTTGCTGGAATTTGCTGTATCGTGTTGGCTATGTTTGTTATTGTTTCATATTTTAAGCCAATCAGAAAGCCTAAATAGTCAATAAATTTGCACTGTATTTCATTTTTTGGCACTGTATTGCGAAAAAATTGCACTGCTCTTAGCCAATCAGAATTGAAACTTTTTCATGTATATTATTATAATAATAACACAGCATATTCTAGGAATCAAATAACGATCGCACTGGTGAAAGGCACGTGGTTCGTATCATTGCGTCAGCAACATGCATCCCCACATGGTACATTGTCATATTGGGGTTAGGGTCCCTAGTATACAAAAATCTACCTCTTCCTTTTTCTGTTCATCTGTTTTATATTCTTCCAGTTCAACATGACTGTGATATTTCTTTACCACTTCAACCTTGGGTGCTTCACTCACTACAAAATATAACAGTAAACCTTTTGAACAGCGGGCGACGGAACAGGTGGGGGGGGGGGGGGGGGGAGAGTCTATGTGCTTGTGCTATATATAGACCACTATGAGATCAGTGTATAGATCCGCCAAGAAATATCAAAGTGGGAGAAGGTGTCAGGTTCGTCGCTCTAGATTTAAAACTTTTTTTAGGGGAGCATGTCCCAGGATTTGTCTCGACTCATCAGGAAGCATAGTCCACTAAATGGAACGGCAATTTAGGACCGGAAAAGTACTTTTTTAAGGTATCGATGTGTTCCAATTGGGGGAATCGTGGTGGATAATCGTTATCCTTCCCAGAAATGTGAATAATTCTAAGAATTGACAGTAAACCTACAACAGTAAACTTTTTGAACAGCGGGCGACGGAACGGGTGGGGGAGTCTATGTGCTATATATAGACCACTATGAGATCAGTGTATAGATCCGCCAAGAAATATCAAAGTGGGAGAAGGTGTCAGGTTCGTCGCCCTAGATTTAAAATATTTTTTAGGGGAGCATGTCCCAGGATTTGTCTCGACTCATCAGGAAGCATAGTCTACTAAATGGAACGGCAACTTAGGACCGGAAAAGTACTTTTTTTAAGGTATCGATATGTTCAGATTGGGGGAGCCGTGGTGGATAATCGTTATCCTTCCCAGAAATGCGAGTAATTCTAAGAATTGATTCTATTCGACGACCGAATATGAATAATGATAAAATGACGGACTTGTTTCCGGATTCATATACATCAATTTATTAGCACGTTTATTATTAGCATGACAAAATTACTGGATGCTGATTGGTTGAGAGGAGTACAATTATTTCATTAATTGTACTGCAGTACAATTAATGATTTTCCCAAAACAAACAAAATGGCGGAAAGGTATTTTAAACACAAATGTGAAATGAAATTGCCGTGGAGGAACTAGATGAAAATACGAACAAAAGCACCCAAATTTTGCTTGAACAAAAGAACTAAATGAAAATACAAACAAAAGCACCAAATTTTGGTTCAAAGTCTGGCAGGACTGGGCTTTGGCGAGAGAATATGATGTTGACATTGAGACAAAATTCCAAACATCACTCGTACTATTAATCCCTAATTGTACTCGCCATCGCATGATTACCTATACTTAACTCGAAATCGCTTAACTCGAACTCCTCGCTAACACGAACAAATTTCATTTTTCATTGGCGCGGATCGGCAAACCTTTTAGAACGTTTTATAAACCACATAATGAGGCTTATGGCGGCCATCTTTGATGACCCATTCACCGGCAAATTTAGGAAAAAAGAGAGGCTACTGATGATAAATTCTTATCTAGGCAATATTTGTCCTTTCCCACTAGTGACTAGTAACATAAGGGAAGAGTTAAACATGTCCACAACACCAGATTAGATTAATGGTGGGCGCATCCAATATGGCCGCCATTGGCTTCACTTATGCACAGCATATGCGCTATCCACTTATTTCAGATCAGTGGTAGGTATGATGTAGGGACTGTTAACTTAGGTAACGATTGCACGAACTTTGTAAGTTCTTTACAGAGTCCACCATAATGGCTCACAAATATGATGAATAATAAAACGACTATACCTTATTAACATAATAAACGAAATCCAAGCCCGACCCTGTAAAAGTCGAACCCCAGCTAACTTGAACAATTTTTCGCTTCCTCTGGGTGTCCGAGTTAACCTGGTTCTAATGTATTTCTACTGTGGAATTTTAATAAAACAAAACTTGGCTTCACTTACTTCAATACCATTAATTGTGGTGTTCATGATGTAACTTGAACGGAAATCAGTTCTAGAAATACAACAGACATGCAACAGATAAGTTGAATAAATATATTTTAATATTCATGTGAAATATAAATCCCAACTCTCTTGATACTGTGATTGTGTGAAAGAGAAAATGGAATTTTTTCACATTGGAATATTTGTTTGCTTTTCCACTTTTTATTTTCATTATCAAATACTTATAATGTCAGACATTTGCAGCAAAATTAAGTTAATTATTAATATTGGACTTATTAGTATTTTGAACTAGTGCTGCGGTGCTTTCTTGAATTCAAAAACTTAAGCTAGTCTAAAACTGATACTGATACAAACTTTGAATATCTCAAAACCCCTTGCATCCCTGCTAACCAAGCCCAACAGAAGCTTGCACCTCCGCCCCGCCCACCCAAAAAAAAATCCACCACTGGGCATCATTATTTCATTCCGAATACACTGGAATTTTGTTGGACTTTTATAAAGTCACTCGATTATGCTCCATAATTTTTATTGAAATATAGTGTTTGATATGTTCCCCGAAAATTACCAAGAATATTTATATTCTGTATTATTGCTAAACGTGGAAGTATTTGGATTTAATGATAATTTTCAACAAGATCGGGACGCCACCAGCACTCTGAAAACACCAGGCAAACATCATGCATGTATGAGTTTGAAGTTCCTACCCAGTATTTTTACGATCCATCATATTCTGCAACGTTTGTAACGGGGTTGCAAAAAGTGTTCAACCTTTTTCCGTGTAAAATTTCAAGTTCTCACTCAAACCTTCCTCAAAATAATGTGGATTGTACTTTCTGGCTTTTTTATATTGCAAAATATTTAAACTACGTCATCCAAAATCTGCTTCTCATTCCTACAATTCAGACCGTTCAGTGACGAATACTTGTTCGCTGGTCATATTCGGCAAATTTTATCCCAGTACAGCAGGCTCATTTTCCAGCGGATTTCCAATGAAAAATTGAAAGCTTTGCGTTTTACACAGTGCTGTAAATTCTGTTTCAGATTGCCGGGTTAGTCTTCACACAATGTTATTTCTTTCATTTGCATATTCCGCGTCCACTGGGGTTGACATTATAAATTATGATGATGTAACACAATGTCGAAAAATCTCTATTACAGTGCACGCTCACAGCATATTACAAAACAGACGACAGATAACTGTTTCACATTGTCGACAACGACTTGGCTACGTGTATTGCGTTTATTTATTTAAAAGATCCACAGTTAGCTAGTACTAGTTTACACGTGCTTTTTCTACTGCAATTATACTACGTTAAGAGTTTTAGCGAATGAATAATATTAATAAAATTAAACTGTTAGTTAAAGATGATGTCCACTCCGTTCTGCGCATCAGTTCTGCTCATAACAAAGGGGGACCCCCAGATATAAACATTGCCCAACTTTTGCATCTTTCGAACTTTTTTTAATTGAACGTACAGTTTATATTCATTTACAAGTATAGCGAACCAGAAAAGTGTTAGATATTCAGGTAGTATATCATATTTTACAAATAAAGTAGTTCAAAACGTAAACAAAGTTAGCGCATGTGCACAGGAGTTGACATCATATTTAAGTGTATATCTAAATTACTGGAATATAATAACTACCTACAGTATGTAATCTATATTTATCTAAATGATCCAAGGTAAGTTTTCTAAAAGAGCTAAGCCAAAAATATATGAAAAGTTTGTTTAAAGGGAAATAGCAATAAAAATTAAGCCTCTCCCATTTGGAAGAGGGATTCAGTTCAAAACCTTTTCACAGACGTTCTATATCGGTCTTGCTATAAAATATATTGCACATTTCATTTAACTTCATTTCAAACGAAATCATTATTCGTCGGATATGCGTGACGTCACAACCAGGGTAACAGTATATTGTATCTTCGGCAATTCTCACGCAATTTTAATGATAACTTCTAGTTTTTACTATTGCCTATTTTAAAATAAAAGCGCAAACTAGGAATAAACGTTTCACTGATATTTTTAATTTTTAAAATGTCTACCCTGGTCATTACGTCATTTAATTAATTAGATCTATTTATAAAATAAGATGGCGGCATATTTTTGTTTCAATTATCTCAAAAACTAAGATTGTTTGGGAGAATTTGTGAAAAGGATTTGCAACTAATCCCAACATTCTTTCAAATTAGGCAAACATAATTTTTTTCTGCATTTTCCTTTAAATAAAAGTCCACTCCCCTCCTCTGTGTGTCTCGTTTATATCAATTGTTTATCTGCAGGACCTCAGCTCATTTCACATTCAGATTTCATATTATTCATATGAAATGTATATTTCACATTATTTACATCAAGTATACTACACAGAAAACCTTACAAGCCTCCTCACATTTCGAATGAATACCGATACACAGAACATCAAACCAAATGCCAACTTCACCACAATGCAAACAATAACCACAATGACAATGACTGACAATGGAGCGACTATGAGAATCTTTTCAATCACATCCAATAGAGGCAGACTTTTTGAAAAAGAATAATCTTGACCATAATACAAAGCTCTTAGTAAAGTTAAACAACACAAAACTACGTGTGCACCAAGAGAAAAAGATTCCAGGATGTTGTCACATTTTCTCTGAAAAGGATTCACAAACATGTGGAAGATTAGAATGGCAACACACAATGTTAAGGCTAGAAACAATCTGAGCTGAATGTCGTAGACGAAAGTCAACACAATAATCAAGACCAATCTACGGAATATAAGAAAACCTTCCCAAGGAATACGTGAAGCAGGAAAACATACAAAAG